TGTCGACTAAGCAAACAACAAGCGGTGTGGAAGCTATACAAGGCAAATTCAATTTATCATAGATAAGGGAAGGCATGATGTTGACGGAGGCTCCTAAGTCGGCTAAGGCATCCTTAAAAACACAATGCCCTATACTACATTTCACTAGGAAAACACCGGGATCATCTTGCTTGCTTGGGCATCCTTTATGAAGGATAGCCGTTGCCTCGGCACCAAGCTCAATTTGAGGTAAATCTTCCTCCTCATCACTATCAAAGTCCTCATTAACCAAACATGCACGATAAATAGTATTCAAGAAAGCATATTCCCCTTCTTCATAGTCATAACCTTGTGAATTTTCAAATCTTGTAACTTGAGGTGTTTGAGCCTTACCTTTCAATGGTGGAATTTCCTTCTCACTTTCTTTAAGGGCATAAGAGGTTTCATTTCCTTCCTTCTTTTCCAAGAGATTACAAGAGGTAATCTCTTGCATGTTGACCTTCACGGTGTTGGTTTCATCTTTCTCACAAACCCTTTCCATTGCATCTTTCTTTTCTCTTTCTATTGGTTTCACAACGGACACGCCATTCACTCTTTCTTTGGGATTATTTTTGGTGTTACTTGGAAATATTCCCCATGGTCTTTCGGACATTAGCCGGAACATTTGAGACATTTGGGTTTCAATGTTCTTCAACGAAAGAGCATAGTCTTGCTTCACCGCGGCTATCTCTTGCCTAATCTCTTGTGAGACTTCTTGTCTCAGGAATCCTTGATCTCTCTTCAAATCACTAATGGCCTTAGATAACCGTTCTTCCACATCTTTTGCTTCACTTCTATGCATCACCATCTCTCCTTGTGGATTTCTCGGGGGGTCGGTAAGAAGTACTTGGTTGCCCTTGGTTGTAATTTGGGCCAAAGGTAACCCTTCTCTCCATTCCCGTTCCATAGACGTTCTTTCCTTGAGGTTGCCCTTGGTATCCTTGATTTTGCCAACCATTACCTAATTTCCAATTTGCATTGTCATTTCCCCACCCATTTGGCTTTTGTGGTGGCGGATAGTTGGGCACCTCTACCTCTTTAATTTGAATCGTAGATGTGCAAGTGTTGGTGTCGTGTGGACCTCCACATACATTGCAATACAACGCTAAAGCCATGCACGGTTGAGATTTTGCCTCCAACTTCTCAACTACCGTTTGCAATCTCTTGATCTCTTGTGTAATTGCTTCGACCTTGGCTTCATTCGCTACACTCTCTTTCACTTCATACATCCCCGGGCTTGCATCCATTTTGTTATACCAAAATGAAGTATTGGATGAGATTCTTTCTATCAACGCCTCGGCGTCCGCCGGTGATGATGATACAAATGCTCCGCTTGAGGATGAGTCTAGTAGCATCTTCCCTTCATCGGTAAGACCTCCATAGAACGAACTGATGACGTCCCATGGATGTAGTAAGTCCGGTGGGTACTGTCTTCGTAGTGACTTGAATCGTCTCCAAGCTTCACCTAGGCTTTCTAAGGAGCCTTGTTTGAACTCTTATACATGCTTGCGAATTTTCATGGTTTTCGTTAATGGAAAGAATTCGTTCATGAATTCTTTGTGTAGTTGAGCCCACGACCTAAAGTGATCGTCATCTTGCGAGTCCAACCATCGCAATGCCTCACCTGAAACAGAAAAAGGAAACAACTCCAGTCCTACTATTTCATTGGATACTCCTCCTTGTCGAAACATTCCACAAGCTCTAATGAATCGCATGATGTGGGTGTGGGGATCTTCTGAGTGTGTCCCTCCAAACGGACTATTCTGTACTAAGCTTAGAACCGCGGGATGAATTTGGAAATTAACATTTTCGAGGTGTCATGTAATCCGAAATGGATATTCCCCTCTCTTCTTGTGGTACTTCGAAATAGTCTTCATTCCCAACGTGTTCAATTGGATTTTTTTCCCTCATTTACTCCTTGTCCTATAGGTGGTTGATTCACATAAGTTGGAGTTCCTCCTTGTTGGTTTGGTGGTGTGTGCATAGTAGAATTTCCTCCTTGGGCCGCTCCTTGTGTATGATTTCTTCCACTTGAAGAAGCCATATCATTCAATGGAATTGGTTCTCGTGTTGTTCTTCTTCGGATTGCCTTGTTAATTTCGGGTTCAAAGGCCAAGAGTCCTATGTTCCCTTTTGATCTTGTTTGCATTCAATCCTAGAAAAACAAGTCAACTTTCTCCTCACAACTAAAAGTAGTTGATGAGGGTTAGAACAAACACAACAAAACGAAATAAAAGTAAAAACAAAGTAACAAGCATTCAAACAATGAACGAAGTCAAATTCCTAATTAGCAACAAATGGCTAAAACCTAATGCCATCCCCAGCAACGACGCCATTTTTGATAACGTTTTTTTTTTTTTTTTTTTTTTTTTTTTTTTTTTTTTTTTTTTTTTTTTTTTTTTTTTTGCCTTCGTCTCGCCTAAGAGCTCTTCTAATCTCATGTTTATCACGCATGAGATAGCAAAATAGTGGGAGGATAAACATCGGATTTATCGTTCTCAAGGATGGACGCTCGGAATTAGCCCTAAGTTGCTAAAGTCGGAAAGTAATGACAACGACATTGATTGCAAGCATGTTACACGCACACAAGATGATTCACTCTAAAAGAACCTTAAAAGTGTGTGTCTTTGACACTTATCACAAGTATAAACTATTAAAGTATTAAATTGTCTATAATTATCAAGTCTTTAAAACTTTTTTAAAAATAAAATAAAAAAAAGTTCACCAATTTTTTTTTAAATAAAATAAAATACACGAGTGCCTAGGCGATCGAGGAACACATAACAATTTTTCAACCATGATCATTGTTTATCTATTATGCTGTTAATGCTCAAATTTATTTACTTGTCCATGTTGATGACATACTAATAATGAATAGCAACAAAATTCTCTTGGCTTCCATAACAAGCAGACTAGTTGAAGATTTCAAGATCTGAGATATGGAACCTCTAAACTTTTCCTAGGAATCGAGATAGTTCACAGCAAGGGGACAATGATCCTATCACAACGAAAGTACATGCTTGAAATACTCAAAAGACCCAGAATGAAACACTAAAAACTAATCTCCACTCCAATTCTAATCAACAGCAAGCTAAGTGCAACAAACTCATCTCAACCATATGACAATCCCACACAATACCACGGATTAGTTGGAGCATTTCAATATCTAACCATCACATGTCCAGATATCTCCTTTGCCGTAAACAAACTCTGTCAGTTTATGCAATCTCTAACCAATGACCACTAGGTTGTCCTAAAGCGTGTTCTAAAGTATGTCAAAGCTACTCTAGACTAGGCTACGTTTTATGAAATCAGACTCAAACGACAGTCATGTATTTCCAGACTTTGATTGGATAGAATGTCCTGATGATCGTAAGTCCACTAGTGATTTTGTTGTCTTTATTGGTAACAATCTAATTTCCTACGCTTGCCGCAAACAAAAGATAATTGCTAGATTATTAACAAAAGCATAATACAAATCTATAGCCGATGTCTCAATAGAGGTAACATTGTTAGTTGCTTTAATTAAAGAACTTGGTCTTACTATGCAAAAACCACCAAAACTTTGGTGTGACAACCTTGGTGCTAACTATTTGTGTGCAAATCCCGTATTTCATGCAAGAACCAAACACGATGAAATAAATTACCATTTCGTTCATGACAAAGTAGCATCAAATGAACTACAAGTAAACTACATCTCTACAAAAGTCAATTTGGTATACATCTTCACCAAACCACTAACGACAGCAAGGTTCAATGATCTAAGGGATTGACTCACATTTCTCTCTGGAAAACCTTAAGCTTGAGGGGGCAAATTCTAGTCACATTAAAATTCATTCTTACTCTCCATGTATTATTGTGAGTCTAGCTTTTATCATTTCTCATTTGATTAGAACTTTTTGTATTCTTATAAATACATCTCTTCCTTACTTTATAAATTGGATTATTCAAGAGTTAATTCCTGCAATGGTCCTCCGACTATATTGATTTTCCAAAATTAGTCCTTGACTTTTAATTTGGACACTTTAGGTCCCTTGACTTTCAATTTCTTTCCAATTGAGGTCCTTTCGTTAGAATACGGTTAATTGAATTTTAAATGAAGGGGTAAACTCATCATTTCACCTGCCTATGTATTATTTTTAGTATTTCTCCATTGTATACGCGATATATATGAAGATAATCTTAGTCGAAACCCTAAAATGTTCTTCATCGTTTCCCATTTGCTGACTACTCGTGTGTGCGTTCCTCTATTATTGAGATGTTTAAAATGTATAACAGCAAAATACGAAGGGAGAAATACGAAGAATAATACATAGGCAGGTGAAAGGACGAGTTTACCCCTTCATTTAAAGTCTAATTAACCGTATTCTAACGAAAGGACCTCAATTGGAAAGAAATTGAAAGTCAAGGGACCTAAAGTGTCCAAATTAAAAGTCGAGGACTAATTTTGGAAAATCACTATAGTCGGAGGACCATTGCTGGAATTAACTCGATTATTCAATAATAAAATTCTTCTTAGAATTATTATTCTTATCGACCTTACACATCTAATGTCAGAACAATTATCTAAAATAGGAATTACGTGTCATTTCAAAATGACATTCTTAGAAGGTAACATCTTAATTTTTTTTTTTCCCTACCATACCTATTGCAAGTTTGAATCTCTTCACTACAATTAAAAACATCACAATTCACAATTCAAATTAAATGTTGTTGAAGTATAACCTAAATTCTACACTAATTTTAAATTAATTGAAAGATCATTTCTGGTATTACCTCAATTACATAGTACAACAACTGCGTAAATTGAACAAGACTAACGGCACCGTTTTGGCCCTGTCTTCTGATCCCGCCGCAAGCCATCCGCGAACCTCTCTACATCTTCATTTCCAGCGGTCTTCTTCTTCTCCTTCCAAATTCACCATTCAGCTAACCTAATATTGTTTAAAAATAAATAAATAAGTATAAAATTATATTGAAAAATGACCAGTTCTTGTAGAATCAGAGCTTTCTGGATCATCAGCACTCAAGATAACGTCCTCTTCTCCAGGTACGCACCCGCGGATTTGATTGGATTTCAGAATTATTTTTGTAATTTGATTCTTCTTAGTTGGCTTAAATGGTTAGACGGTTTCCGGTGGTGGAGAAGCGGTGGCGAGCTGCCTGTCAGCGAGAAAATGAGAACTTAAGCGACGAGAGTGTGAAATCTGCTGCGGCGGTGCCTCCGTCGCTTTACCTGCCCACTGATTCTGAGATAGCAGCGGCATTTACTGAACGGAAGAATAGGTTAACTTTCATCTTTATGTTGAAAAGAAATTATAGCATTTCAAGCGACTGAAATTGTATTATTTGAAAAAATATGTTGCTTTAGTTTTGAAGAACTGGTAGTCTAATAAAGGTTTCGCAGAAGATTAGATCAATTTTGGAGATTGTTTTTGGCAGTAAGTATTTGGTTTTAGACTGTGACTATTGGTGTCATTCTTTGACAAAGAGCTATTACTTAAGCTTTTCATGGTATTATTTGTATGTTTTTAGTTGCTCTAATGAAATGTTTTGTGCCTTTTGATGAAATGTTCTGATTGATGCAAATATGATTTGTATTGTTTAGGGGTCTCCATTCTCCCTTCAAGTAATATATGGGTAATGAATCTATTTGCTGTGTAATGTGTTTATTTGTTTAATCTGAAAGCAACCAAAGTTACTTAATTTTCCATCTTTATGTATCTTAGTAGTTGCATTTGTTGAACTGTCATGGATGTTGTTGATTAATAGGTCTGCTATTCATGCAACTTTAGTATTATCTGGTTGTTGTTAGTTGTTATTGTAAATTTTTTTTTTTCTTTGTTATGCATACTTTTTCCATATGACCTTTTTAAATGTGCACAGGGAGGGATCTGCCCGTGGATTTGGTGTAAGGGTAAACCGATCTGTTGAAGGATCAGATTCCTGGGTTGATGATCCAATTACGCGTCACATAATAAGTCTAATTATTAACAAAGTGGATGGTGTGAATCATATTTTCTGGCCATTAATTATGCACATAAAGGGCCATTATTGTGTCCTTGTATTGCCTTTAGTTGAACCACATCAGCTGAGAGTGTATTCAAGAATGTGTAAAAGAGCAGACTGTGGAAATTCTATTGGAGCAGATCAAAATTTATCTTCTCTCCTTCTTGATCTTCCATCCATCACAGGGTATGGTAAGTTATATGCTATACATTTATGCAAAAAGAATTGAAAGAGACATATACTGCTTTTTTGTGCTTTCCCTTGTTTTCTCTTCTTACCAGCTGACATGCATCTGTCCTTCATGTCCTTAATGGATTAATCATAACTTTAAGATTTCCACTTTTGTAACAGGCTAGCTTTTGTTATAGACAGTGGATTTTATTTTCATATAGTAGAATCAGTATAGGTTGGGAATTGGGATCCCTGGATTTGGTTTGGCACGCACTTATCAATGTCATACTGTCCTAGATATAGTAATAATACATCCATTTCCCTCTCAACATACTGAATTTAAAGAGCCAGGTTCATCATCAATTCTATCTTCTATGTTTTTTTTTTTTTTTTTTTTTTTTTTTTTTTTTTTTTTTTTTTCAATAATATTCAATGTTCTTATAGAAAAAATAAGTAAACCACTAATTACTTGTTCTTGTAAAAAGTTTTTTCCTTCTTCACCATTTCTGCCATCATCCATTGTCAATACTTCTGCCCCTTCCTCATTTACATTGAGTCACTATCATTCCGAATTCCCCAATTAAATAAAATCCCAAATGAAAACCAATGAAAATAGAAGCATCCATTACAGCTGCTAGCTAGTGGTTGTCATTTGCAGAAATGGGGATGTGGCAAGGTGATTGTGAAAGGTTGAGGAGCTTGTCTTTTGGTGGTTTTTTTCTTGAAGTGGGTTGTCAATTTTGGTTTGCAATGGTTGTTTAAAGAGAGGACTAAGTGAATGGCTGGCCAACCATGAATTAGCCAACTGAGGGGTTTTAGGGGAAATTGTGTTAAACAATGTGAACTAAAAAATAAATCTATTCTCATTCTTTGGTGTGTTAATTATGCCTGATGTTATTTTTCTCCCTTCACTAACTATATTGTGGTAATTTGCGCCATTTCTAAATCCACTTGGATGTTAAGACTACTCTTGACTACAGAGTATAATCAGCATGTTTTCAAAACCATGGAAGGGTAATTGCCAATTTACCCTGGAAAAATCCTTCAGTGAAATTTTACAATTTACTAAAATATTGTGTTTCTCCATCTGGAATTAACAATATCCTTGAGGGTGAAGTATGATATACTAGGTGTAAAGCCCATATTAAATGTTATTATTGGGGTTTGCTTATTCTGTTATTTTATCTTACTAGTTCGACTGCCATTATATTAATTGCAAAGCTTCCTTAATACAGGGCCTTTATGGTGGCTCATATGATTGGGGATGTTATAACTGGAGATGTAACAGAACCTGAAATAGTCATAAGCGCATCTCCATCTGTGGGAGGACTATTGGATTCTCTCACTGGAAGTATTGGGATTTCAGGTATTTCTGCAAGAGCAAAACCTGTAGCTTCTCCAGCGGCAGCACCTACAGTTTCCAGCAGTGGTATTGGTGGAGCAATGGCAGCTGATGGTCCAAAGATTGGTTTGAGGCCCCTTGATAAAGATGCAGTTCGGTCTTTTATTAGTAGTGCCATGCCTTTTGGTTGGTATTTTTTATTGTGATTCCTCATCACATATTTTTAAACCAACACTACCGCATGTAACACCATTCTTGCCTGCTTTTCTTAGGTACACCTCTGGATCTAAACTACACAAATATTTCCTCTATCAAGATCAATGGATTTTCCTCAACAGATATGCCTCCTACAGACATCAGGCAACCAGCATGGAAGCCTTATCTTTACAGAGGGAAGCAAAGAATCCTCTTCACAATTCATGAGACTGTTCATGCTGCAATGTATGATCGCGATGAGATTCCAGATAGCATAAAGATTTCAGGCCAAGTGAATTGCCGAGCAGAGTTGGAAGGGTTGCCTGATGTTATGTTCCCATTAACTGGGTTAGATGCCGCTCGTCTAGAACTATTGTCATTTCATCCTTGTGCTCAAGTTCCAGAGCACAGCAATGACAAGCAATCACTGATGTTCTCTCCACCCTTAGGAAATTTTGTATTAATGCGTTATCAGGCATTTTGCCGCATTGGGCCCCCAATAAAGGGATTTTACCAGCTTTCAATGGTCTCAGAAAATGAAGGTGCATTTTTGTTTAAATTGTGTCTCATGGAAGGTTACAGAGCTCCTCTATCCATGGATTTTTGTTCAGTTACTATGCCTTTTCCTAGGAGAAGAGTGGTTTCTTTTGATGGCACACCTTCTCTTGGAACAGTTTCAATTACTGAGCACTCAGTTGAATGGAAAATTATCACTACTGGTCGAGGAGTTTCAGGGAAGAGTGTTGAGGCAACGTTTCCTGGAACCGTTAAATTTGCTCCCTGGCAAACACAAAGCAACAGGACTGCAGACGATGAAGATGATGGTGAAATAGACTCAACTAACAATACAATAAATGTGGAAGATTTCTTAATGGAGAAAATGAGCAAGGATCTTCAAGCAGTTGAGTTGGAGGAGCCATTTTGCTGGCAGGCATACGATTATGCTAAAGTACATTCTCTTTCCATCATCAACACTACGGCTCTGTACCTTTTCTTATCATAGACTCCTGCATTTCAATAAGCTGCCCTTTGTTACTTTTTTATCTTTCAAATAACTAACTACGCTCTTAACTGGATAATTAACAAAATATCCTGGACCTCTTGTCAATGTGATTGCAGGTTTCTTTCAAAATTATGGGTGGATCATTATCAGGAATGACGATTGATCCAAAATCTGTAAGTACCTGCTTATATTCCACGCCTAAAAGAATAGATGCCTCCTTTTTCTGATGGAATATCACAATATTATTTGGCGGGATCAGTATTTTGACATTCTTTTATCACTTTTTAAACCTTTGGTAGCATAAACATTCCATGATTTTCTGAACTCTAAATGTGTAGTAATATACACAGGTAACTATTTTCCCAACCGTCAAAGCACCTGTGGAATTCTCAACACAGGTATTGACTTCAGCTTAATGTTCTCAGATTCTACAGCATCAGACAACAATAAATTTTAACCTGCATTGCCTGAGATTATCACCATTTTTGCAAGGACTATTCTTCTGAATATGACCTTTGGTTAACAACTTTATAATCTTCAATTATATTGATTTCTCTAGTTCCAAGGCCAACTATTATCTGCTTTAAAATTTTGACTAAGGGTGTGTTTGGTTCATGGGTTTACAAACTAGGAATGGAAATCAAAATCATAGTCAGTGTTTGGTTGACAACTTTTTAAAACACAACTATGGGATTTGATTACCCCTTCAATTAAAAATCTCATTCTCTAATTAAAAGGGGTATCATTCCATCTTATTTATAATCTAATTTTTAAGTTTGAATTAGTACTTTTAGATTTTTTTTTTTTTTTTTGTTCATATTGATGCTTTGGATGTGATTATATTAGGATCAATTGCCTTGATTTTTTGTTTTTGTATTTTTAAAACTTTTATTCCCATTATAGGGTCATACACAACCAAACATCAATATTAGTAATCATTCCAATTTCACCCTACTACCAAACATGCAAAATACTTTCACCAAACCCATTACCATTACCAAATACCAAGTATTTGATTCTCATTCTGATTCCGATTCCCATGTACGAACCAAACACACCCTTAAATTTCATACTAGCTCCATCCTACTATCTTTGCTTTTCCTTTGATCTCTAATACACTCGTCATTTTGTTGTTCTACCTGAATGTGCATACTTTATGCTTGAGTTTGTGGAAGTGGAATGCGCACATGAGAAACAGTGCCCTATTGTTGAGATGTACTAATTAGATTCACTATTGTTTCTGCCATAGAGCTTATTCTTTTTGCATGGGCATACAGTTCACTTGCGCGAGAAAATATTAAGCTTCAATTTTGCTGCCTTTGGTATGTGGTTTTGACAGGTCACTTCTGGTGATTACATTTTGTGGAACACGTTAGGAAAATGTCCCGTAGTTGCAACACCAAAAGCTTAGCTCAGGCGAGTCCACTGGCATCTTGCAATCTTATTATGTAAAGAGCAATCTATAAAAATGACATTTTTATGCAAAGGGAACCTGTCTGCAGGTGATTTCGTCATGGATTTGGTGTTCTGCATGAAAGGATTGTTTTGGGGTCTGATGACTATACATGCAAATTTTTAAAAGCTTATACGTGTTTGGCAAACTATTGTGTGGTCCACGTAGTGTTGTAGTATGAAACATAAAAGAAAGTACATTATTTGTGTATTGAATATTTGAATGTACATTATATAAAATAATGTACTTTTAGTATTTAAATAATGCACTTTTTCTGAATAAAAAGTACATTTTTAAATATACTAAAAGTACATTATTTGTGTACTAAATATACATTATTTTATAGTATACAAAATATGGACCACACAGCTTGTGTAGACCATGATCTACACAATAATAATTGTGTTTGTTTCGAACTTCTTTTTTTTTTTTTTTTTTTTCAATAATAAATTTTAACAGAAAGAAAATTTGCTATTCGGGGAAGTTATGGACAGGCCCAGTCCTATTGTTTTATAGGTTCGGAGCATTACGAAAAAAAAAATGTCATACTTTGTTAGCATTATGCCTAAAACTTAAATTACAAAAAAAAAATACTAATATTAAATAACTTGAAATAAGATTTAAAAGTTTTTTTTTTTTTAAATTTTATATACACGTCAATAACCATGAAATTCTTTTTTTATGTGTTTTTGTAAATGTAAGATGATCAATAACTACATTAGTGTATTTATAAGTAAATATTTTTTTTTTTTTGTGTGTAAACCACGAGGTAGTCCGGGTCTTTCTCTGTCCATTTAATGGTCTAAATCTACCCGACTAATCACCGTTCGATCCGAGAGTCTGGGAGCTAGCCTAGAGGAAATCGAACTCGGGTTTCCTTGAAATTCTCTCACACGAACTTATAAGTAAATAATTATAGTCTATAAAAACGAATAAACAATTTAAAATTAAAAAAATTACAAATAATAACATTGTTATCATAATAAATAATAAATTAATTATTAATAAAAATTTATAAAACAAAACTTACAAAAAAGGCAGAGCTAAAAATATTTTTGACTGGGGTGAAAATTTAAATATTTAAAAACGTGAAAAAAATTATTCATAACAAATTAATTGGACAAAATGGTTTGAATAAAAAATACATTATAAATCACACATATTTAAAAATACTTTTTCTTTTAGCTATATCAATTTTAAGTTTTTTCTGGAGTAATTTAAATACGATAACATATAATAGAAACTTCTAAATTACATTGACTAGATGATTCATAAAAGAAATTTTTAAAAAAATATTTTCTAATTTGTTTTTTCCATAAGTGATTCACAAAATATATTTTATGTAAATTAATTAATCAAGTTAAATAATCTTTACAATTGATAACTCATTATAAATCTCACAAAACATACATGCAAAAAATATAAGTATTAAATTACTCTTTTATTTCTTGCTTTTATTTTATTTTCCTGCATGCAAAGTGATTAATTTCATATAATTAATTTGGTTAAAAACGAAGTAGAAACCAATTAAGTTCTTTCTTGCATTCAAGACCCACAGTTTAACAATTTATGAGTATTCTTTATTGTTGATCAATTTACTGTATGATAATCCTTTGAAAAATGATGTGTGAACCGATTGCTACAAATTTCTTGATGCACTGCTAATTTAATTTGCCAAGGAACATGGATTACTTACTATGAATATTCAATATTAATCTGAGTTTTATTAAACGTCATATACATCCACCATAGAAACAATATATAAAAAGTTAAATTTAGAAAAATACCAAAAAGATGTGTACAATTGATTGAGAGTGTTGTGATCTAAACACATTTTAATTTTAATTGAGGGTAAAGTAGTATATTTTAAGTTTAATTAATGGTAAAATAGTAAATAAGAAAATTAGCCTATTGGATCAAGTCTTGTGGATCAGGCCCGCCTAGAACAATGAGTCTCTTAGCATGGAACTGTCGTGGGCTAGGGAACCCATCAACAGTTCAGGTTTTAGTGGACCTGGTCCACTCTAAGTGTGACACCCCGTAAATCTAAATTCTAATCAAGGATTAATTAGAGAATTAGTCCTAATCTCTTTGTTAATTTATTCCTAAAAATTATGAAATTCAATAGTCGAGGGGCTAGATTTTGACTAGTCACTTAAATTCAAAGAGTTGTACCTTGTGCTTCTTGAGTTGTGCCCTTGTTCCCTTGTCTTTCCAACTTTAGTAAGGGTACGGATGTCTTTCTATTTAAAGTTTGGGGTTCAAGCTAACATAGCAACACCTCTTCATTTCATTCACCCTACAATCCAAACACAAAATCTCTAGCTTCTCTCTAGAAAAGTGTGGCATCTTCTCCAAGCTAAGATTTGAGCATCCCAAATCTTGCAAGTTGTCTTCCAAGATTCCTACTTTCTTCATCTTGAGCATAGGGGAGGGTAAGATCCTTGGTCTTTTGGTGTTTTTAAACTCCTTTTAGGTGTCTTTTTCTAAAGATAGAATCTTTGTTGTCTTTTGGTTTGTGTATGAAGTTGGTGTGGAAGAGGAGCTTTAGGAAGAGCTTTCTAGGGGTGAAAAGAGGAAGTGATTAGGCTACAAAGGTAACCCATACTTTACAAAACCTATTTGCTTACTTATATGATGATTCTTGGCTTCTACTTGTGATTCTTGTGTTGATTTGTGAGATTTGATGCATTGTCTTGTGGTAATGCATGTTTAGAGCTTAGTCTTAGGGTTCTTGAATTCCATTGCTTGGCTATTTCTTGGGTTCAAGTCATGTTGTTGTTTGGTGTGAGATTTTGGGTGTTTTGGACTTGAATTTGGACTTGTTGAAAATCCCTGAAGGGATTATTTTGGTGTACCGGGTGTACCCTCGGGCGGAACGGCGGGCAGAGGCCTACCCGCCGCCCCACCTACGGGGAACAGGTTCTCGTGGGTTGGTACCCGTGGGCGGAACCGCGGGTGGTTGTCCACCCGTGGCCCCACCCGCGGGGAACACTGTTGGATGATGTCGGGGATTTGTTCCTCGTGATTCTTTTGACTTGGTATTGATGTTTTGACCTCCCGATGTTGTTTTATTGGGCTATTTGAGAGTCTTCTTGATGTTTTGTATGTCTAGAACGGTACGTTAGGAATCCATGTAGGATTTGGTGTCTTGAATCGTGCTAAGGGTCCGACTTTGTGATTTGTTGGACTATTGTGAGTCTTGAATGTTCTATGGAACTACTTTTGGTTTACCCGTTTGATAAGCATGCTAGTTTGATGTTGAAATGCTAGTATGTGTGGTTTGTTCTTTCCTATTGGGATTGGCAACTTGTGTTGACCATCGTTTGGTGTTGGATTGTGATCCTTCGTTGTTGAGTATGGTTTCGTGTCTTTGTTGTGATCCATTGATAGATTCCTATGAAGTGAACGTATGTAATCGTTGTACCCTTTGATTGATACTTGATTAATGTTATTGTGGAACCTTAGTCTTCTTGGTAATGATGATGACTTGTGTGACTATGATTTGAATGTGGGTGGTTGTTACTTGAGCTTTGCTCACATGTAGGTGGTTGTGTGAATGAAATGAATAGTACCCTCGTGTATTGATATGTAGGTGGTTTGTTGGAGATTGTTGGAGTGGGGACGACGGTCCCTGGCGGTATATGGTTGGACTCAGAAGTACAGGGTGGCACTAGGAAGTAATGATTGGAACTGAAATAAGGTCGGGGGTAGCCATAAGGTTGGAACTATGATACTTGCGACATGTAGTTGTCACTGTGGCATGTAGTTGCCAATGTGTGAATGTGTATTGTTTGCTAATGAGCATGTCTTGATGTATTCTACTTTGTGATCAGTAGAATGCATCTTGAGTTGTATTGTCTTTCATGATTCTTGTCTTGTTAATGTCGTAAAGATGTTGATTCCTTTTCCTTTTGAGAGTGTGAATGAGTCCTTGAAGTTGACTTCTCTATATGGCTTTTGAAATGATATATAATGTATTCCGTTTCAAAAATGGTTTTGACTTATACTTATCTATATATGCTATTTAACGCGTATTGATGGGTTACCAACAATGTTGGCTGACCGGGCGTCATCCCCATGTTATGTTTTCTCTGTTCTACAGGTTTTGAGTAGATGCCCGAGAGCGCTAGACTTGGAGCGTTAGATAGCTTAGTCACCTTGTCTAGACAGTTTGTTGATGGCCTGTGAGCCTTTTTAGCGGCCTGTGTGCCTTGACTCCTTTTGTTTTATTTTACCGTTTAGTTTTCCCGCCTGTGCATCTTTAGTACTGTAAGATGTGGCATAATACCCCGTTTAGACTTGCTTCCACTTTATGTTTAATGAATGATTAGATTGCTTTTCTCTTGCATTTAAGTTTTAAAAATATGGTAAAATCAGGGGTGTTACACTAAGAAGCCCAATTTAATTTTCCTTGCTGAAACTTTTGTTGGTCATAGCAAACTTCTACCTATCAAAAATAGAATTGGCTACTTAGGCTTGCTTAATGTAAATAATGAAGATACCAGTGTGGGCCTGGCCCTTTTTTTTTTTTAGAAAGAAGGCACTGAAAGTTTCAATTAAGTCTTATTCGAAAAATCATATCGATGTGGTCGTCTCTCTCAGTTCCGGCGAAGAAGAATGGCGGTTCACCGATTTCTATGGCAAACCTGAACGACATCGCCGAGCAGAATCATGGACTCTCCTTAAGCATCTATCCACTACCAGCCCTGTAACACCCCGGAATTTTGAAACTTTTAAAACTTATATAATAAAGGTGAATTCTCATTAAATCCCAAAATCAAACATAAGTGTGCGGGGTGCTATGCCACATCTGAGCTGGAGAACTTAGATGCACAGGCTAAACTGACTAAATATCCTCAAAGCAATGTCAATACATAATCATGGCACGCCGACCGAAAGGGAAACTAACTAATCTACGCTCCGGATCTCTAGCGCGCTCCGGAGTCTACTCATCTGTGCCTGAAAGCCAAATATATCTGTTCAGCGAATGATGCTGGTAACCCACTCCAACGCGTTGGAATACATACATATATATATATATATATATATATATATATATATATATATATATATATATATATATATATATATATATAGATTATATGAAAACCATTTTGAAGCAGGAAGATATAAACTTAT